AACTCACAAGGACATGTATTGCCATCCCCTTAGAACCTAGAACAAAACAACGTGGTAGGCATTCAAAATTTTTGAAATAATGAGTGAAATCAATCAATCAAATACTAACAGTTATATGAAATAATTTTTTAATTACGGATAGCTATATATGCTCCGAAGGAAAAAATAGTGCGGGGTGTTGTGTTTAAAAACAAAGCAACTATGGGGGGTGGTGAATAGGATTGTCAGAGAAAACTCTCTTTGAAATTATAATTAAGACTTCAAGAATGGGGGGGAAGCTGCCTTGCTTAAAGCCAGGGGACACACATTCAGTGAGAAAGGACAGGAAGTATAAAGGACGTACGGTGTGAAAGAGCTTGTCGTATTTGGCAATTGTTGGAAGACCTTTGTGACTAGGGCACTGTGAACAAAGAAGGGAGTGGCTGCGGGCAAGGAGGGAGGGATGAGTAAGAGGTTGTTATGGGGGTTCTTGTAGATGACCATATGGGGTTTTAGTAGTATTCTCAGTGAACTAGAACTGCTGCAAAGCTGTAAGTGTGGGAGTGGCAGGATCTTGGCTTTTCATTTTATTTTTTTATTAAGTTTTAAAATTTTAACTCCAGTACAGTTAACATAAGTGTTATATTAGTTTCAGGTATACAACGGAGTGATTCAACAATTCTCTATATTACTCACTGCTCATCATGATAAATGTCCTTATTTCATCTATTTTTTAAAAAAATTATTTATTTTAGAGAGACAGAGAGAGAGCAGGGGGAGGGGCAGAGGGAGAGAGAGAATCCTCAAGCAGACTCCCCGCGGAGCACAGAGCGCAGTGCGGGGCTCGATCCCAGGACCCTGACATCAGACCTGAGCCAAAACCAAGAGTCAGATGTTTAACCAACTGAGCCACCCAAATGCCCCTATTTCATTATTATTAATAGCCATGATAAAATAGTGTGATTTCCACCCACTCAATATGATACCATCTCCACATGCCAGATAAAGAAGACAAAAGATAGGAAAGCTGTCGTAACAAAGGTCTTTTGCTAGATTCGGGCTTCTGGCTCACTAGTAGAAATGGAAGTTAAGATTACTTTCAGAGAATAATTTCTTCCCTTTCTGTTCTTCCTGTCCTTTCTAATCACTTCCTGTGATTACAGTTTCCACAAGCTTAGTCCACGAGTAACTAACGATGCTCCCCTGTGTATATGGCAGGGGTCACAGAAAGCAGAGTAAATGAAATAATGAGGTGAGACAGAGGAGGGTCTATACTCCACTTGTACATTGATTTCATATGTTCATCCAGCTACTGAAATATCTGAAATGATGTGCCTTTTGGGTCAGTCTGTTTCTTTGTGAGTCACTGGAAAGCACAGACCAGCTCCCTATTTCCTTGCTTGTGTCAGTCCATCCCCTTAGGCACACTAGACCGGAAAACTTTCTGTCATTTTTTATTTATTCCTGTCCTTCATTCTTCAAATGTAGTAATTTGTTTATCAGTCTTTGAAATGCCATTTATACCCATCTTGTGCTCTCCATTCTTATTGGGACAGTGCTAGAGCATGTAACACTTACAGCCATCCATCTGACCATCTATCCATCCCTTGTGAGTTTCATGACCCTTCTGTTTTCAAAAAGACTTAAAAGAGTTAATAAAGTGGAACAATGTAAACCTGGATAATTAAGATTAAAAAGAGAACAGAGGGCGCCTGGGTGGCTCAGTTGGTTAAGCGACTGCCTTTGGCTCAGGTCATGATCCCGGAGTCCCGGGATCGAGTCCCGCATCGGGCTCCCTGCTCAGTGGGGAGTCTGCTTCTCCCTCTGACCCTCTTCCCTCTTGTGCTCTCTGTCTCTCATTCTCTCTTTCTCAAATAAATAAATAAAAAATATTTAAAAAATTTAAAAAAATGAAAAGAGAACAGAGAGGGCCTAAATCAATTGTTCTCACTGTTTGAAGCATTACAAACAATGGAGAACTTAAGAAAAATAGTGATACTCGGGAGATTCAGATTCATATTGTCTAGAGCTCCCTCGGTGATTCTAATGTGCAGCCAAGGTTCAGAACCTGTGGAATTGGACATGAAGGAGTAGATATTACCAGCCACTTGCTATGAGCTGATTACAACCTTTGAATCCAGAGTATGGCTGCAAAGACAAAAAGGGACATATGCTGTGTTCAACACCTCTTATTATCTGACAAAACTTTTTTCCCCAGAGTTAGACTCTAAAAATAATACATTGTGTATTTCCTAATAATGCAATAATAGCTACCCTTTATTTTTTATTGCAATCTCTACGCCCAATATGGGGCTCGAACTCATGACCCTGAGATCAAGAGTCGCAGGTTCCATGGACTGAGCCAGCCCCTGATAGCCCCTGATAGCTACCCATTGTTGACTATTTGCCAAGTGCTAAGCATTATGCCAGTTGAAGGAATTAGCTGTTTTAAGTCTCACAACACATCTATGATGTGAATATATTATCAACCTAGTATTTCAGATGAGGAAACTGGGGTCTTGAGGAATTAAATAAATTGCAGCTTTTGGACTAACTGTAGAATCCGATTCTTGACCACTTCCTGCACTGTCTCTGATGTGAATGCACTGGGCAATATCTCCAGGTAAAGTTGTCCAAAAGACAGAACGGTATTCAAATGGAGGTTCTTGTAAAATAAAGGCTGAAGGGAAATAGTTTAACAAAAGCATTTGTGCAAGGTATTGAGAGGATATTTTGCTTTCTGATGGACTTCTTATAGGGAAAGACACTGGGACGCCTCAAAGAGTGGGCTGGTATCATGTCTGCATTTTGTCACAGGGGACTTGGTGAGGTCTGGCCTCTCCCACAAGGCCGGTGAACAGAGCAGCTGCAGAAGAGCCAGAGCTTGGGTGCAGGACCTACTGGGATGAGACCAGCAAGCCTCAAGTCTCTTGGAACCAGGCTTAGAGGCAGGAAATGGAAGATGGGGTAAAAAGCCAAGAAGGGCATCTTGCTTGAGCTGCCAGGCGTAGACAACATGAGGAATGTCGGTTAGATTGGGCAAGAGGAAATTCCCACACTGTAGAGAAGCATGAAGGGATGACGTGTATGGTTCTAGAGCCAAAGTCAAAAATATGGGTGTGCCTTTGGCTCAGGGGGGAGGTGGGGAGGGTGCAGATATTTTAAAAAGAGTAAAGGTGGGTGCTGGGTCACAGGAAACTCATGATTATTTTATCTTAAAAAGGTCCAAAGTGAAATACTTCATGTTGTTGAGTAAAGTGAGACCTGTAGGCTTTGCATGCCAGCCCCGAGCAGTCATTCTTCCATTAGGGTGTGACAGACCAGAGATACTGGGGATACTGCCTTGAGTCCACTCGGTCTCACTCTGACGAGTGCTCCCCAGAATCTTCTGAATAATGGGTCTTAAACACTCTTTCAGCACATCTTAGCTCAAGAAATGTAAAAGGCACTCCATGGCTTACTCTGATCTGAATTCCCAAGTGGTCTTCATTTTCTCTCTCCATGTTGGTCCCTCCACCTCTTCACACCTTCCTATCATATTAGTCAGGCTCACTCACTGCTCCCCAAGTGACTGTGGCTTGGATTAAAATGTCTATTCTATGTGCTTTAGTCTTGACTGCCCAAAGTGATTGCAAGTTCTTTGAAGGAAGGGATTTATGGCTTTTAAAATCTCTCTTCTTCTCAGGACCTTGTGCTAAGCAAACGGAAGAGCCAATCCTGCACCTGATTCTATTACCCTGAGTAGTACCAGGACAGCGCCAGCCTCAGTGAGCTATCTAATAAGGGTTTTTGGCTTGAGATAATGATCATCTTGGAATCAGAAATTATCTTGATGTGTTTTTTGTAATGACAACATTGATAACAAAGCCTCATTATAAAATGGCATAGTGCAGTTCAAAAGGTTTGAATGCCAGTTCTGTCACATATTAACTGTGTGACCCTGGGCAGGGTGCCGAGAGCTACAGTTTCCTCATTGTAAAAGAAAGGTGATCACGGGGACCTCTGAGTGGTTATGAGGATTAAGTTATACACCAAAAGGAAATTGTCTAGCACAGTAAATGGCTATCATAGGCATTTAATTCATGTGTTTTACTACAAAAGATTTAAAATCCCTATCACTTTCTCTTCTACTGGATTTTTTTAAAATTTTATTTTATTACGTTATCTTAGTCGCCATACAATACATCACCAGTTTTCGATGCAGTGATCCATGATTCATTGTTTTCATACAACACCCAGTGCTCCATGGATTTCTATTATCTCCTTTACCCAGATCAGAAAGTTAATTTAAAAATTTTTTTAAAAACTTTTTTTGTGGTTAGGTATTTTCTAATAATGAGAAGGTTGGTAGACATCCCATTAACACAAGTTTTTTTTTTTTCTTTTTGGTAATTATCTGGATCTTAAAGAACAAGAATAAGACAAATTAGTCTTCAGTTTAGGCTGGGAATCAGGAGAAGCGAGAAGGGAAGATAGAGAGTCCTTAGATTGCTGGTAGAAACATGACCCACTAACTGTTAATTTAACATCCATGATGAAGTTTTGGTGGTAAGGAACCTAACTCCTGCCTTGGTTAGTAAGAATCCTCTAGAGCTGGGCTATGAGTTTCCATGACAAAGAGTCATAGCGCTGGCTCTCTGATCTACTGGACTTTGCTGCAGGATGGGTGTGGCCAAAAGAAGACCACCATGAATTCACCAGGAATGAGAGCATCAAGACTGAACTTTATTTCACTCAGCAACAGAATAGTAGAATGGCATTCTTCTCTTTAACTTTTATCCCTTCTTCTCCTTCCATGCAGGGCTGGTGATAGAGGTTGTTGGGGCTATTGTGGCAGGCATGAAGATTCTGCCCACTGGTCAAGAGACCTTGCTCTCAGATGCTGGCTCTGCCCCTGCCTCCTGAGGTCGGCCCTTGTACTCGCAGGGCATTAGGTGCCTCTGTAAGTATAGTAAAACTCTGTTAATCTGTTGTTATCATTCAATAAAAGAAGGTGAAGCAACCATTTGACAAGATGAGACTTTTTCCTGACATCATTGGTTCTTTATTTAAAAGTACAGATAATATTTGAAATGAAATAAAAACTCAGAGGTTCAAATGCATCCCATAAACTGAAGTAGCAGTGAAACATTCATCCACAGGTAAGTGTAGCTGTTTAAAGCCCTAGCTTGTTTCCCTAGGCAAAAGCGCAGCAAGGGTTATAAAATACACGCCTCCCTCATGTTATAAGGCAATTAAAGACAATCATATTATTCTCTTTTGCAAAAACCAGTGCTCTTCAATGTCATAGCAAAAAGATGATATGATCATAAAGTGAGGTTAGAGAGGAATTTCCTCATAAGATTTCTGAATGAAATTTGCATCACATCCCATGATATTCCCTTGTCAATTATTTAAAAAACATTTTCCTTGGCAAGACTGCCTCTATATTACTTTCTCTGCTTTCCATCCTTATCACTGAACTCAGAGTTGCTGAAAGCTCAGGATTACTCAATATAGCGTGGGCAACAAATGAACAAACAGAAAACTCCCATTTGAAAGCCTTGTTGTAAAAGGTACTTAATGAGTAAATGGAAATGACTGACTTACAAGAAACCCTCTCACCTAGAAAGAGAATTATCAGGACAGCTTTGTCAAGTGGGAGTAACTATTTGATATACTAGTCATTCTGGAAACTGAAAGTCAGTTAATTTACTTCCCCTGTCCTCTCTTTGGCCAATCTGTCTTTCTTTCCTGCTGTCCCTCTTTAACCTCTAGAGGTTTTATTATTATTTCTTTTCCCATTAAGAAATTTAGCATTCAGTCTCTTGACTTCCCTTATTTTCACATGTGTTCAGGGACCACATGCTGCAGTTTATTCAGAATGTCAATAATCTTTGTATGAAAGTCCATGACATACATTTTAAGGTATACATTTGTTGTCAGAAAAGCAAATTGCCATAGGCCATAAGGCACATGAGTTTGTCCATTTTCTGTGTTAGATAAGAAAACTTGTGAGGAAGACCCAGAGGGAATTTAGGATTCTGCACACGGTTATACGTCGTCCATAGAGATTGACGGTGTCCCCATTGCGAGTCTCACCCCTTCTCTCTAAGCCGTTCTGAAGCTTCAGGGCTTTTGTTGTGTTATATCAGGATATTTAGACAATGGGGAGAGGAATGATGAAGTGTTAAAGACTCATGGCGGCATAAATTAAAACAAAGCATCAGTGAGATCGAAATCATGAAATTCTTTCACTTCCACAGCTGGATTCATTCCATTAACTGGCTTCCAGGGGCGTCCGGGACATTTGGGGGAGGTTTTTTCCGGAAAGTCAGATATCAGGTTAAATGAAAGGCTATTTGGCTCTATCTGGATGTTAGGGATCCAATCATCATCACTCTCTGTGGGAGCTGGTGGCTTAGGCATCATGACTGCAATGAGATCTGAGTCCTGAAAGTCAGGCACAGTAGCCGCTATACCTGGCTGGGCTAGGGAAGGGAGGGGTGTTGGCCCTTCTGTCTTCTCTTGTGTCTGTGCAGAAGAGGTAGTACTATCTTCAGAAGAACTTGCCAAATGCTCTATTTTCCAACCATTGTGCTTTCCATTGTTTTTTCTTTTATTTTTATATTTTCCATGGCCTTGGCCATGTTCATGTATATGTCCTTGGGCTAGGCCATGTTCCCTTTGATGTCCATGGCCAAGGCCATGTCCCCTGTGGTACCCATGGCCTTGGTCATGCTCATGTTTATGACCATGGCCAAAGCCATGTTTTATTTGCTTGTAATGGCCCCAGCTATGCCCATGAGTGGGTCCTTGTTCTTTTCCTGAATCCCGCTCTTCACCTTGTACAGGTGCCATGGAAGTGTGGGGTGGACTTACAGTTGTTCCTTCTTCTCTTTTCTCCAAGGGTACTGATCGGAAAGGTGAAAAACCTGGAGGCCTTTTCATCAATATGATCTAAACAGGAAATATTAAGATGAATGCATTACTGTGAAAACCATACTATCAATGAAGAAAGAAGGACTGAGTCCTGGCAATGCTATCTTTCTTTACAATGGGGCAAATCTATCAGACTTCAAATATGATATTAATATTCCAGAGAGGATGAGAATGAATATTTTTTCCTCTTTGGTTGCTTTTATAACTTGTGGTTATTGATTATTGTTCTTAATACTCTAAGCTGGAGAGTTTTTCCTTCTTTGGGAAAAATTGGGTGGTGGTACTACATAATCCCTAGGGTACCTTCTAAGCCCATGGTTATATAAAGCCATGACACATTATTTATTCATTGATACTGTTTCTATTAGCACAATTACTCTTTTTATCCTAAAAGGCGCTAAGTGGCTTTATGAGCTGAATATCTAGGGAGCATATATTCACAACTACTTTGTTTGATTGAAACACATTAGGAATTGTCACCAGCTTGAAACGCAGTCTTTGTATAATGTTTCTATTAGACTCTGTACATACTGACACATGGCAAAAATGTAAATCAGGAAAAAGTAAGAAGAGGCAAATTGCACTGAAGATACGGTCTTGTGGATTTTTTCCACCTACACTTTCACTACCTGTGAGAATGTGATGGTCAGGGGCAGTGTTTGGTGGTACAAAGAACATGGTTTGGAGAGTCAAACAAGTCAGACCCTACTAGGAATCAGCATCATAGCGAATAGGGTGGGCTCTGATTTGATCTAGACTTGAATCTGAGCATCACTGGCTTCATTTTTCTCATCTGTAAATAGGATAATAACAGCACCTGCCTCATAGAGGTGTCAGGAGGGAAATATGTGTGAAGCTCTCAGTACAGTGCCTGGGACAGAAAGTACACTTGGTAATGTTATTATTTACCCTATGACCTCAGCATCTTTGTAATTTTTAGGATGTCATCCTTGGCAATGGGGAAAGTCTTACTTACTTCCCAGGGATCTTTTAAAAATTAAAAAAAAATGATGCAAACTAATGCTTCCTGAACTTGAACATGGGTATGACCTCCTCCCCCCTCCCCCCCGCTTCAGGGATCATGTTAAAAATGCAGATTTTGAGTCAACTGATGTGGAGTGGGGGCTGAGATCTGTATTCCTCCCGATCTCCTTGGCTGTAAGCAGTGAGCATGGGAGAGCAGGGCCTCGTCTCAGGCACACCTTGTGGGTGCACGGGCTAGCATGGGCCCTCCACAGCAGGGCCTGCAGTTCACCAAGCGAGGGCCCCCTGCCAATGGGACGCTGACAAGGCATGGTGTGTAATTACGAGGACTGCTGCTCTCATGTCTAGCCATAAAGAGGTCAGCACAGAAATGTGAGCGTTCTTCCCCATTTTAAGAAGATAGTCTCCCAATTCATTTAAATAACGGTTCACTTTCAACCCTCAAATATGACTTTTCGGAATGAGCAAAGTTGACCCGAGCTGACTGTAATTAGAATCATACCTTTTTCAGTGGCTGACAGGTGACAGTAGGGTAAATTTTTTTCTCCCAAGGTATCACAAAAACTTCGGCTTTACATTCTAGGATTTGCTATCCATGAAGACAGAAGGCAAAAGAAAGAACAGTGTTGTTCATGTGATGCTTAAACAAGTATAAAATATCAAAAAGGTTTCCAGGGAGCAAATACACAGTTGCGTTACTACTCACTCCGTATTTATTGATCTGGCAACTTTCTGCCAACTCTTCGTTACTTTCCTTGGAACACATGGTTTCCCTGGCGCTGAACGCAATAGAAAATTTCTCTCCAGCCACCACCTGGATAATTAATTAGCACAAAGTAGGAGCTTAATTAATATTGTATAATAAATCATATGTTTTCACTCTAAGAAGTTTTTGGGGAGAATATTGACATTTTAATTATATACTGAACAAATGAGAGTTACACAGAAAAGTACAAATGTTTGACAACAAAACTTTCAATTTGTGTGCATGTGAAAAATATTTGGCTAATGACTGGTCTCATTTCCTTTTCAAAATGGGGGAAAAGCAAGCTATAATTTCTATTTTTATATTTTCCTGAGTTTTATTGTTTAATAGCTGCAAAAGTCATGAATAATTCAAGGGCTCAAGTTGTAATAGAATTTAAGAAAAGTAGGAAGAAAAAGTTAAATATTTTTTTTTGAAATGCCTTATCATCCTGCCAAATCTTAGGTCGAGAAATACTGAGTTGGTACCACTATAGAAATTATGTGATTAGAAAAATTATTTGGATTTTCGAGCTCGCTTCTATTTCTTTTTTATGTTAAGAATATGCTTTAATCTTTAGCAACAACCTTAATCATTACACAATGCTGTCTTCCATTAAGCAATTTGTGGCCCAATTTTTTTTTTTTTTTTTTGGTCTAGAAGAAGCGCACCTCATTTATTTAAGAAATTAAGCTCAGGTTTTTAAACTACTCTGACTTCAACAAAATCCCAGGGATGGCTTTTTAAGTCATTTAAAAATGCCATATCTTATAATTCTTATACCCTGAAAAACACACTTGATAAAAATGTTTTTAAATTATGTATTAAAAAGTTGACGTGGTTTCTAGGCCAAGTTATTTGGTATTTAATTCTAGGATTTAAGTGTGTGTGTGTGTGTCATGGACTGACTATGTCCCCCACCAAACTCATATATTGAAGCCCTAACCTCCAATGTGATGGTATTAGAAGGTGGGGCCTTTGGGAGGCAGTTAGATTTAGATGAGGTCATGTGGGTGGGGCCCTCATAATGGGCTTAGCATCCTTATAAGTGTCTTTAGAAGGGTCTTATAAGACCAGAGCTCTCTCTCTCTCTCTGAAGTTGAAGACACGGCAAGAAGGTTGCCATCTGCAAGCCAGGAAGAGAGCCCTCACCGGGGAACTGAATTGGTTGGCTTTTAGACTTCTAAGCCTCAGGCACTGTGAGAAACAAACTCCTGTTGTTTAAATCACTCAATCGTTGATATTTTGCTATGGTAGTCTAAGCCGACTGTGTGTGTGTGTGTGTGTGTGTGTGTGTGAGAGAGAGAGAGAGAGAGAGAGGGAGAGGGAGAGGGAGAGAGAGTGGGACAGACAGATTATGTAGCTGTCAAGAGAATACATCATACATATCTGATGACCTAGAAGGATGACCATTATTGAAAAAATGAAGTTATAGGGTGATAGTACAATCCCATTTTTATAAAAGCAAACCTTAACAGTCTTCCCTATCTCTTTATACTTTGTAAAAACACAGGGAAAGCCTGATGGGAGGCAGATGAGGAAGGCAGAGTTGTAGGAAAAACTAAGCTCCTCTTCCTCCTTTCTTGGCATTGTCTTGCTGGGTAAGCATGGTTAAAATCTTAAGAGAAATATAATAATTAACTTTCAAAACTCCAAGTGTATGTGTAAGTAGAGAGGAAGTTTCTAAGAGGGTTTTAGCATCTATACTTCAGTGATCAAAAATTTTCTTGCTTATTTCAGGGTATACTTTAATCTAATTTTTTGGCCTTAGAGTTGATCAATGTGATGTTGCCTAAGAAAGTTGACAACATATAATGCAACCAACAGCTCTCTTCAGGGTCCAGAGGAGAGAAATGAAGGAGACCTAATACCATCTTCTGTTTGAGGGCCTCAAGGTCATATCCATATATCCCCATCATCATCAAGTATCATTCTTATCAGAAGTCTTCCCTGCTGAAATCCACCCTGTCCAAGTTTTGTTTTTAAAATGGAGAACACTATATAGCAATATCAGATCTAATGGCATTTAAAAATTAAAATTAATGAGCTAGACAGATGTAAATATTCATCAGATCTCAGGATGAGGAAGGCCTTTCTTAGGGGAAGAGCAGAGGAAGGAAACCTAAAGGAAGGGGAAAATGTCTAAATTTGACTAGACGAAAATGAAAACTTATTCTCAAAATCACAGTAAGTAAAGTAGCAAGGCAATTTGGGAAAAATATGACATAGGATCAATAAAAAGTCTAATGCCAAAACAAATGTGCAAAGGACATGAACAGGTATTGCAGGAAAGAAGTTAAAATGACCATTTATCCTGGGGAAAAAAGTCTACTTCATTAATAACCAAGGATATGCACATTAAAAAAGCAATGCAACATCATTTTTAATCTTTCATGTTGGCCAAGATGGAAGCCAGTAATGAGGCCTGCTGTTGGCCAGGTGTGGGGAACATGGAGCCTCGATCACTGCTGGTAGGAATATAATACGAGATCATCAATCAGTGTCTTATACCCAGTTGGTGTGAATGTAAATTGGCATAATTGCAAATAATTTTGTAATTTGGCCATTTGCATTAAGTCTTAGACATATACATATTCCTTGACATCTCCAAGATTTTGTCAAAGGAGAAGCACCTTGATGTGCACACACAGATCCTTGAAGTATATTCATCTGAGCAGAGGCGGCGAGGAACGCTGACAGAAGGGGGGACAGCAGCAGCAGGGGCGGGGCGAAATAAGAGACATGTGACGCAAACAGCAACCACTCACGTGTGAAAAATGGAGGATTTAAGAAGTTCACGGTTTCTGAAATAGGAATAGATATGCATCCACACAGGACTAAACACGCAAAGCCAAGGCAAGACTAAAACTGTAAAAGAAATCTTTAGCAATTTGGCAGATTGGTCATTTGGAGCTTGGCTCTTAGCAAATTCATCTCATGATAAATTGAATTTTGGTAAAGGGGCCGCTTCCACCAAGGCTGCCTTGAATATCTATGTCGGAGCAGTCAAACGGCTCTCTCTTTAAACACAAGCATCAGTAACGATCTATCTCTTAAAAGTAAGTTTGAAATCTTCACAATATTCCAGATTGATTTGGTAATGGAAGTTGCCTTCCATTCACAGCATTACCTCCTGTGGTTCCCTGGCCTCCTTAGCATAAACAAACACGCATACACTCTAGAGAGTTGATTCACTAATTTACAGAGAGAACTGGAACTACCAAGAAGACTAAATATTCATGCATGGGAATGCGTGGTTCTCCTCCTGACAGCAAATCTTGGACCTGTAATAAATGGCAGGGCACTGCACAACTCCTGCATCGTTAAGAACAAGGGACAGTGGGAAGAAAGCAGAGAGGTGGGGGCCAAGAAGAGTTGACGAACAGGAGTAGCATGGATTAGCGTCTTCTGGGAGGGAGCCCCATGCCGGTCCCCTGCCTGTGAGACCAGGGAGAGGGGGCCGGCCTCGGGGACAGGAACAAGCACCTGAGCGGAAGACAGAGGGTCAGGTTTGATTTGCTTTAATACTGTTTGTTTAGAGGTTTTCTTCCAGTCATAAAACTGGAACAGGAAATTGGAAAGATGAGCATAAATAGCCTATTGTGCCGTCACCTAAAAACCACCACTGTGAATAGTCTGAGGCATTTCTTTCTTTTTAGTATTGTCTTCTGTACTTTTTAATAACATAAGCGAGGATAGAATGTATGTTCGGTTTTACGGCCTCTTGTTTTTCCCTGCATATTTTAGCAGGAGTCATTGCCCACACCAAGAATGCCTCACAAAGATGCTTTCAAATTGCTGCTTAATACTCCATTGTACGGATATGCCAGATCTATCAAATCATTTCTAGATTATTGATCATTTTGACAGTTTACCTTTTTTGGGGGGTTTATAGTTAAAGCTACAGTGAATATCACTGTATATAAAGACTCCTTCTAGTTTATATTTCTAGAAATTAGAAATCTGGCTCACTACTGAGCCAAAAGTATGAATTTTTTTAGTGCTATTTCTTTCACCAGATTATGAGGATCATGTTGGTGTGGTGTACCAGTTTGGTTCTATTTTGATTACTTTTCTTTAGCTTGTATTTAGGGAAGCCAGTTTTGAGGTCTATCATAGGACTCTGTCCATGAATACATTGGTTATAGGCTGCTGGAGTGGAAGGAATCTGGGCTCTGTTAATCCAGCCACTCATTTTTTTCAGATGGGGCCACAGGGCTGAGTGAGTCTGAATGACTCCAGGGTTACCCAGGACAGTGGAGGTGCTGTGGTAGAGCTGGGTCTCCTGACCTCCAGAATAGAACACTCCTTAGCTTTGATTGACAGGGCATGGAAAGAGAGATGAATCCCCAGAGGGTACATCTATAGGAGGGAAGGGCACCCGAGGCAGAGGAGAAACGACATGCGGGTGAGAGTGAAGAATCTGGACAATGACAGACCAAAGGGGCTGAGCCCAAGGCACTAAGTGATGCTACAATGAAAATGACTCTAGAAACGCAGAGAGTAAGTCTTGCTTTTCCTAGCACTGAATTTTGTTAATTATATAATAGTTGCTAGTGTTTACAGAGCACTTTGGAGTTTGAAAAGCGATTGACATATATGTTCTTATTTGATCCTCACCCCTATCCTTTACAGATAGAAAATGGAGAACATGTTCTAAATGACTTTTCCAAGATCACACACAAAGAATGCAGTGAGGTTGGCACTTGAAATTCAAATCTCCCAAATCCTATTCCCTGGGTATGCTGGTTCCCAATGCAGAGCCAAGGACGATGGCAAAATTAGTCAGCAAATTCACACCTAGGTTCTAATATCATTATTTTTGTAGTGTAATTTACAGACCTGTACTGTTGCCCTTTTCACACTGTCAATCTTGAAATAGAAAGTTCCATTATTCTCTGCATTAAGCTTTGCGATGGAATGATTCAGAGCCACCTCCAGCTCTGGGCTGTTGACAGGTATATCTCTGGGGCAGCCAAGGCAAATTTTGGAAGGCGGTTGTACAAAATCCTCCCCTGAAAGAAACAGGTTTTAAGTTAGCGTGTGCAGGGGAAGGAAAAGTCTAGCCTAGTAGCTCTCCTGCACGTGATCTGGCATCCATTTACAGAGGGCCACATGACAGCCCGAGGCTCAGTAGTGTGTAGAGGTTGTCTATCTGACCTTCACCTTAAGGCCTCTTTTTCTCTTCTCAGAACCAAGTGTGTTAAGGAAAACATTCAATCAGTAGGTATTAGTGGCTCAATCAATATGCTGTACTTTTCCTAAGTTTTTGCATTTTTGATGGAACTACCTGTAAAGAGCAGTGCTTAACTTAAAGGAATGACTCCCTAGTGGGAAAATTTTAAGTCCTATGATTCTGGTGAGCAGGCAGCTTCAGTAATGCTTCTCATCACGGAGTGCATACAACTATCTTCCAAGAATGAGAAAAGCCAATTCTTGGTATAAGAAATAAGGACTTGATAAAGTCAAATTTTGCAGTATTTCCCTTTCCCTCCATTGTAACATGTGGGTAAAAAAAAAAACAATCTTTAATTGAAAGGATTTTACTTGGGGCGCCTGGGTGGCTCATTCTTTAAGGGTCTGCCTTCGGCTCAGGTCATGATCCCAGGGTCCTGGGATCGAGCCCTGCATCGGGCTCCCCCGCTCTGCGGGAAGCTTGCTTCTCCCTCTCCCACTCCCCCTGCTTGTTCTCCCTCTCTCACTGTGTCTCTCTGTCAAATAAATAAATAAAATCTTAAACAAATAAAGAAAGGATTTTACTCTAAGTGGTTAAAAATGAGATGCAGCTTTCCCAATTTACAGCATCTGACATAGGGACATCTTGCACACAAGGAAGACCAGCTGGTGGTGTACCCAGAGGCCAGCCACTTCCCCTTGTAGTCACCATATTCCCTTCTGGCTACTTCCAGAGCAGTCTCAGCCGCACCTGCTGCCACACAGCTGGGCAGAGACGGGGTAAGTTGATCTCGGGAAGGTCTGCTGATCACACAGACTTTGTGGCTGATCATGGAAACCAAAGCACAATTCCTGTGAAAAGACCTAGTCCGTTGTCAGGGACCAACATGGGTCATGTCATACCTGGATAGAGTTCACACTTCTGCGAGAAAGAAGCAATTCTTAGCTGAAGATCCATGTGTGCGTGATCTGTACATTCACCAATATCCTGGTTTTTAAAAAGTATATAGGTACATAAAGTAAGAACATTTTTAAGAACCTTTAAAGTAAACAACTAGTATAACTAAAAATAGGATGCTGACTTTACAAATCATCACATAGAAAACGACAACAAAACATAGTCTGATTGCAAAGAGAGAATAAAAGACAATTAGTTAACAGCATCTCCAGCAAACACATAGGCGCAAACCCACAGAAACATGAAACAGGATGAGGAGAGTACCTAGTATAGAAATAATAACCATATAGGTGAACAGATAAAATTTTCTTTTAGCAAGGCAAAGACTTGTAGATTCAGCTAAAAACAAAATTAATGTATTACATCTTCAAGTATAATATATTATAATAAAAAGTTTAAATATAATGGATGAACAAAGCTATATGAGGCAACTATGACAAAAAGGAGCTAAAGTATTATTAATATTGGAAAAAGTAAAATTCAAGGTAACAAAAACCCCACAAAGGTAGTAATAAAGATTATTTTATTTATATAAAAGATATAGTCTAGAAGCCCAGAATCAAGATACATAAAGCAGAAAACATATAGGAATAGAAATGGATAGAAATCATTGTGGTGGGAAATTTAACATACAACTATAAATCTAAGACAGACCAGGTGGATTAAAAAATAAATAAGGTCATAGGAGACTTGAATAACATAATATTTATTTAAATCATATCTTCATATGACACACATGATTTAAAATGACACTTTCATAAGTATGATGCAAAATTTTTAATCACTTCCACACTAGGTCATAAAAAAGTCTCAATAAATTTATCAAATCAGAAATAATACAGGCCATGTTCTTTGGCCTCAGCACCAAAAAGAAAAAAAAACCTCCCTGAAAATTAATATTACATTACTTACATGTTTAAACAAATAAACAAATAAAAACTACTTGGAAATATAAACACACTTGCCTAAATAGTTAGTGTTCCTTAGAAAAGGAAAAAAAATAAAACACAAAATAAAAATGAGAATTCCACATCATATTGCCAGAGCACCATTTAGAGTTAACTCGTGGCTTTAAATGCTTTTGTAATTTAAGGAGAGAGTCAAGAAACAAAACAAAACATCCCTAAGACTAGGTGTTTATCTCAAGAAGTTAAAGAAAAGAATAATGAACAGGCTTCAGGAAAATAAGAAGGAGAAAACAATGAAGGTAAAAGCAAAACTGAGAAGTTTGAAAACAGCACTAGCGTTAAAAATAAATTCAAAAGATCATTCTTGGGGTGAGGAAAAAATCAAGTGCATAAAAAAGGCAACATAACAAAGTATACAAAGAAGTAGAAAAATATAAGAGAATATTATGAACGAGTTTATGATAATTTAAATTCCAAAGAAATAGATAATTTTCTGGAAAAGTATAAATAACCAAGTGACTTAAAAACAAGAAGAAAACTTGAATGGATCAATGACTGGAGAAGGAGAAAATACTATTCCTACTCTAAACTTCATTCCACTTCTCACCTCCAAATAACATAGATATTTTATGGAAGAATAATTTTAAAAATTAAAGAAGTATATATATTTCCATGTTGTATATTTCTGAATATAGAAAATATTGGCAGAGGTGCCTGGTTGGCTCACTCAGTAGAGCATGCAATTCTTGATCTCAAGGTTGTGGGTTCGAGTCCACATTGAGTGTAGAGATTACTAAAAAAATAAACTTAAAAAAATAAAATAGTGGGTGGGGGGTGGGTTAGCCCGGTGATGGGTATTAAAGAGGGCACGTATTGAATGGAGCACTGGGTGTTATACGCAAACAATGAATCATGGAACATTACATCAAAAACTAATGATGTATGGTGATTAACATAACATAATAAAATAAAAAAAATCTATTAGCTAAAAAGATAAATAAATAAAATAAAATAGTGGCAAACTATTTTCATTCTATAAAATTATAATCCTGATATCAAAACCTGAAAAAATAGAATACACATACAAACACACACCCAGAAAACCGTTAAACACCTTTCACTTATAAATATAGATGTCGAATTCCTAAACTAGAAATAGAATCCAAATGTACATCTAAAGAATAATTAAACTAAACAGAGTTTAGTTTAGGAATCTAAAGATTACTTTAGGAAAGCTGTCAAAACAACATAACAGATTAAATTAGGAAAACGTAATAGATACTTTAATATCTGTTCTAAACCATTTCCTGAATTCAATATCAATTCCTTATTTAAGAACAAAATGAAAAGAATAAAACTCTTTAAAGAACAGGAATGTAAGGATGCTTCCTTAACATGACAAAGAATGTCTACCCAGAACCCACAGCACATATTATACATAATGACAAAATCTTAGAGGCTTTCCCAACATAATCAGGAATAAAACATGATGGTGTGTGATGATCACGGTTATTTCAAAAATTATGTCTGTTTGTTTGGGTCAATTCATTAAAATATAGAACAAAAAAAAATGAGCATCAGAAAAGAAAATAAAAGTATTTTTTGCATAAGATATTATTGTATATCTAGAACAATCAAAAGAAACAATGAAAAGCTGTTAGAGCTAATAAGCATTCAGTGAAGTTGCTGAATGTAAGAAAAATGCACAAAAAAGTATACATTTGTATCTAATAACTTATTAAAAAGAAAATAAAAACAAAAGGATTTAATTCCTGATAGCAATAACCAAAAACAACAACAACAACAAAACCCCCAAACCTAGAAATATCATTAGTGAGCAATATGCTGGGTATATATAAAGAAAATCCCACAATTTTAGAAATATAAACTGAAACTTGTCTAAATAGAGATGTATACCAAATTCTTGACTAAAAAGACTAAAGAGTATGTATGCCAGTTATCCTCAAATTAATTTAGACATGTAATGGAATCCCAATCAATGTGACAATATAAGATTTTCTCACAAACTTTTTCTAAGGTTGGTTTTGAAGATAGAAATACTGGATAATAAATCCCATATTTAAACTTTCTATGAATCTATGGCTGCTAAAACATGGTGGTGTTGGTACAAAAACAGAGAACAGATTTTTTGGAGGAGACTCCTATGGAATGAAGGTTGTCATGAATTTATGTAGAAGGAAAGACTGTTGAGGTATCTGGTTATTCTCTTTAAAAAAATTGAAAAAAAATCACAAGATACATCAAAATTAATTCCAGATAAGATCAAAAGTTACATTATAAAATATTGACCATAGACAAACTAGAAGGAAAAAAATAAAGTGCTGAGCAAATGGTGGAAAAATTCAAATGAAAATATTGGTAGATTTGGCAACCTGTAAACAAAAACTATTCGTAAGTCAGAAATACCATAATGAAAACTAAAAAGTAAACCCCTGAGAAAATATGACAAAGCACTGATACCTTTACTATAGAAATATGATTTTCCAAATCTTTTAAGATTTATTCCAAAGAGAAATGGGCAAAGAATATAGAAGACAATTTATAAATTCAACCCATAAATTTCTAACAAGTATATGAAAATATAGTGGTTAAATAAATGCATATTAACTACATTGTTGACTGATAAAATGAAAACTAAAAGGTTTTTGTCTACGAAATTAGCTAAGTTTTTTTTAATCTCATGACTTTTTAATTTACTTTTTTTTTTTTTTAAAGTAAATGCTACCCCTAAGGTGGGGCTTGAACTCATGACCCTAAAAATCAAGAGACGCATACTCTGCCAACTGAGCCAGCCAGGCACCCCTAAGGTTTTTTTTAGTACTGAATTCTATCAGGGGTATACATGGCTGATAGAATATAAATTGATGTATTCAGCAAACAACCTATATATATCAAGAGTTTTAAGGGCTTTTGGAAAAAACTGAAGTGTGGGGCACCTGAGTGGCTCAGTCAGTTAAGTGTCTGTCTTCGGCTCAGGTCATGATCCCAGGGTCCTGGGATCGAGACCCAAGTCTGGCTCCCTGCTCAGCGGGGAGTCTGCTTCTCCCTCTCCCTCTGTCTGCCGCTCTGCCTACTTGTGCTCTCTCTTTCAAATAAATAAATAAAATCTTTAAAAAAAGAAAAAAAACAAGTATAATTAATATCCTATTAGTTTCAGGTGTACATCATAGATCAGAATGTCTGGGGGATGGCCTGGGAACAGGCCTTTTATAAGGCTAGCTGAATGATTCTAATATGCAACGTGGCCAGAGAACTTTATGAAACCTCTCAAATCAGTGCTTTTCAGACTTTAGTATGCAAATAAATCACTGGAGAATCGTGTTAATATGCAGATTCTGATTCAGTAGGTAGGGGTGGAGTTGAGCTCCTGCTTTTCTAACAGCACCCCTGGTGATGCTGACACCGCTGCTTGTTGCAATACACTTTGGACAGTGTGCCTTACACTATAGCGGTTGTGGGCAAAACATTTCATTTCTATTTCATGCCCTTGAACGACGCTAACCCCTCTGTGAGACAGGTGTTGCTATTCTTTTTTTTTTTTTTTTTAAAGATTTAATTATTTATTTGACAGAGAGAGAGACAGCGAGAGAGGGAACACAAGCAGGGGGAGTGGGAGAGGGAGAAGCAGGCTTCCCGCTGAGCACGGAGCCCGTTGTGGGGCTGGATCCCAGGACCCTGGGATCATGACCCGAGGCGAAGGCAAACGCTTAACGACTGAGCCACCCAGGCACCCCTCCTTTGCCCATTTTTAAATTGGGTTGTCTTTTTGTTGTTGCAATGTAGGGGTTTTAATAATATATTCTTCATACTAAACCCTTATCAAATAAGGGATTATTGTGTCCCACTCTGTGGGTTGTCTTTTTACTCTCTTAATGCCATCCTTTTAATTTTTTCCCCAGTTATGAAATAAACACATGCTTCATCAGAGACCTTGAGAAGTACTGAAGAGTTCCAAAAGTATGAAGAATTAGAAAAAACACCTAAATTTCCAACTGAAAGTTAACTATATTTTATGTTTTGGCGTATTAGTTTCTCATCACTTTTTATACTTACATTTACTTTATATTTTTGAATGACTCTGTATGTATAGTTTTCTTTCCTTTTTTTACTTAACATATTATAGTCATTTTACTAGTCACTAAAACCTAGAAATGTAATTTTGATGGCTGCACATATTCTACTACAGATATACTGTGATTTACTTAACCATTCCCTACTGTTGAAGATATGTCATTTCCAATGTTTTTCTATTAATAATAATGCTGAAATTATTCCTGTCTGGATTTCTCATTTTCTTCCCATGTAACAGAATTCTAGAAGTTGAATTCCTAGGTGAAAGGGCTTGCTTAAAGCATAGTCCTCTGCTATATGCCAATATCCCTGGGGAAGTCATCATGCCTTGGCCATCTTAACATGCACTAATGACTGTCACCTCGAGATACTCTCTTTTAACATAATTTTGGTTCAGACAATGGGATATCATCCCAGAAAGGGTCACTAAGGGATAGAGACTCAGGATGTGTTTATTGGAGATAAAGGCAAGGGAGGAAAAGTGAGAAAACAAGCAGAGAGGGACTGTTCTGGGTAGAGCTTGGGAGTAAGGATATGGAGCACATGGGGAAGAAAAGGAGACAGGAGAGTGAAGGCATGAAAAGACAGACTTAATCATGGCATCATTTGGTCTCAGGCTCTCCTAGTCCCTGCTTACATCTGCAAGTGCTCTGCCGGGTGTGCAGATTCCTGGGCTAGGCGGGAAGGGCAGCTTGACCAGTGTGTGAGCTTTGGAATTCCCAAGGGAATGTGAATCAGTGACTGTCATCTGACATCTTAGTGACTGAGACGTCCTCCACAGCTGAGCGTTCCTTCACCCGGAAAGACTGGACACAAAGTGCTAGGAATTTCGTAATCAGATTTTTGCCTACTTACACCATTCAAAAGGGACTTGCAGTCTGGAGTTAAGAACAGAAAATTCTCCTTGGAACAATTCGTTTGCACAACTGAGTAAGTAATTTCATAGTTCCATCCAACCACCACCTGAAACAGTTTGGGAGCGAATATTTAAAAGGCAGCTTCAACATCATTGACAGCATTACGAGGCGCAGAGAATGTTGCCTGGCATATCATGCTCAAAAATATGAACGATGATTATTACTAGGCAGAAATCATTTCTGAATAAATAACAAACACTTTCTGACTCTCACTCTGTCCTAACAACCTCCACACCCTGCACCCCCACCCATCTAACGACAGAAAGCAATATACTGGGAGTTACTCTAGTTCCCTAAGACGAGCGGGATTTCCTCGCTAGGCAGCGGGAAGAAAAGCTTCCATTGAATTTGTGAAATATTAGTAATGCTATTCGAAAGAAAACTTTCGAGCTTGCGTGGCCTTTACTGGTAGAGCATCAGGTTCCCAGACTGCCGGGCAGGAAGATTTCTCCTCCTTCATCCTGGACTAGTTGCACCCTGATATAGCTGAATACGGACCTGATTGAGCAGAACACAGGTCTCGCATGAAAGCAAATCGGAAGGTCTATTAAAAGCCAGGCATGTTACTGACCAAAGTGAGTCCTTCATAATTAGAGGCCGAAATACAAAGGACCTAGTCAACTGTCAGTAGAGGCTTAGTGAACTGAGGCAACGAAAAAGACCAGATTTACAAGTATTTGCTTTTTTTTCCCCCCTGATGATATGGAACCTAGAATTTAGAGGATATCCAGAATTTTTAAGTATAATTTAATTTTTGGAGCCATGTTTGACTCATGATAGGTGGGTAATGATACAGTTTTCTTAAAGCCTTAAGGACAGAATAACTTTTCCATTTCACGGTCTCTGCAAAGAATACGTAATACCGACTACAGGTGCGAAATGAACAATTAAAGAACAAACCTGTCTGTGGGCCCTTTTCACTTCTCTAAGAGCAAAGAGGTGGGAATGATCCGTGTTGTTGTTAAAATGTTCAATGGCATGTCTTAGAACGGGTTCCAGGTCAGGGCTCGCAGTCGAGATGGGGTGCACACAGCCAAGGCAATCATACTGAGCTCTCACCACAGGGCCCTCGGCTTGACAAAGAGCAGGCAAAGGGGCAGCATTAATGAGTGAGACCTGCGTTTAGATAAACTGCCCTAAATAAGTAAGATAATTTGGAAAGCCTTCATAAACTTTTCAGTAAATCCTACTATGCATTAAAAAAAGAGGATGCAAGACTGCTCTCTGGCCAGAACAATAAACCTCTCATTCGCTTACATACATACTAGTGTGCATAGTTATTTTAAATTTATTTAAAAGTAATTTTAAATTATAGAAGCAACATGGATTTATCCTCTTATGAAAAGTAAAACATTGGGGCGCCTGGGTGGCTCCGTTGGTGAAGCATCTGACTCTTGATTCAGCTCAGGTCATGATCTCAGGGTCGTGAGATCGAGCCCCGCGTCTGGCTCCACGCTCAGCAGGGAGTCTGCTTGAGATCCTCTCTCTCCCTCTGCGCCACCCCCCTGCCGTGTCCTCCACCCCCCCCACACTCTCTCACACTCCCTAAATAAATCTTTTTTGAAAAAGTGAAACATAATAGATAAATTGTTTATTTTTTTTAGCACGAATTAAAGCTCCTCCAAGCCTGGTTCGGAGTATAATACGTTTTGTAACAATTCAATCCAACCACCATGTTTTGCACCCTCTGTCGCTGTTGCTGTCACGAGCCAGGCGCTGAGCTAGGCTCCGTGGGTACACTAATTTGTTAGTAATTGTGGCGGGTGTGAAGCCGTTGGGCAAAAGTCAAGTGAGAGACACAGAACTGCGGATGGATCATTTCAATATGATTTGGCCCCTCTGCCATTTTCAGAAAGGAGCCAATAAGGAGCTACTGCTCCATCCTCAGATCCCAAAGGAATTGTGTTTATTCAGCATCTACAATACCAACTCTGCTAATTAGTAGCTGTGGGATCTTGGGCAAGATACCTAACTGCGGTGGGCCTCAGTTTCTTACCTGTAAAGCGGGGATATTAACGCCTACCTCCTAGAGTTGGGAGGATTGAGTAAGTTAATATATGAGAAGCACTTAGAACTGTGGTGGGCAGTAAATGCCCAGTAAATGTTAACTCTTATCACTGGTATCCTGGTTGTCCTTACTAGATGATGATGATGGGACCTTCAGAAACATCTTCCAGTTGCAGTCTACAACAACCCTCTGATGCAGAAATCGTTGTTATCCCTTATCCCCTTTTAGAGATAAGAGGAAAGCTGAGAAGGTGAGGACTTTGGAAAGATTCCAGGCCAAGTCCGACCTCAAAGCCTGTGCTTTTCTCCCTCCCTCATGGCCTACGATTGAAGGCAGTTATCGTGTCTTCTGGTCCCTTCTCAGAGCGTTTGCACAGGCCCCATACAATGCCGCAGTCAGGAGAAGAGTCGCGATAGCATGCAGGGGATGATTGGCCTGAGCTTGGCCCTGACCTAGGACTCTGCCGCTCCCTCACCCCACCCCCAAGGCATTGCTGGTGCCACCTTGGGACGGGGCCTTCCTCCAGGCTGTGCTCCTGACACCACAGAGAACAGGTTCCTTGTCCCCCAGGGCTACCTGGAGTGATCTGGCAGGTCTGCGTAGCCACGGAGAATTTCATATTCCTTCTCTTCCCCACCGTGGCAGAGCATTCTCCTGTGGCCTAAAAAGAAAAAAAAAAAAAAAGACCATTCATCTTCACTTTTCAGTTGGAGAAGTCCACCTAGTACTATGGCTCCATATAGCTTTTCCTTTTTTTTTTTTTTTGAACTTGCCAAGACTTTTTAAAACAGAGTTTTGAGATGCAAGAATGAAAGTTTTTGTAGCCTCATGATTATTTTGGCAAGGCACTGATTTCACGAGACGTTGGAGGAGAGGCAGTATAAAAGGCAAGGTTTTAAAACAAGTTTCCTTTTCACCAAAATGGATGCAGTGCCTTAGAGCCAGACTGCTAAACTCTCCTCTTGATTTTCCTTTCAATTTCGGTGTTGAAAGCGCAGGCAGGAGGCCAGTGTTGTGACATGCAGGCGTGGATCCCCGGACCGGGGAAAGAGCGGCTTCCATCGGGGCAGACGCTGTTCACACTCCCCCCTCATTAAGGCAAACAACCAGCTGTGCTGGGCCAGGCACTTGTTAGGCATTTGGTTAAGGTAGGCATTGCCAGCAAAAGAAGGTTGTTTGCATGCATGTCTCATTTCATCCTCCAACAACCTGATGAGGTCAATGTTATCTCCCCTTTAGGAGGCAACACGGAGGTTCTGGGACGTCAGCTAGTGGGAAGCAGAGCCTATGCAATGAAAGCACCCATGCTGTCCCCTCAGCAGCCCTCGATCTTGGCCCAGATGTTGATCTGTTGTCTCTTTGGGACCCGGTCCCCTGCCCTAATTGGTCATTAGAGTCCGTGTCTCTTGGGAGGGCTTTCTCTATGTTTCACTGCTGGCCTCTTCGTGTTCTGACACAGAGAACGAGAACACGGACACCGAGCCTTGGCTTTTCTACGCATTTGAGGGTTTATCTGCATCCCTTGCAAAGAGGCCTAACAATACTAACCATCTCCAGCTCTAGCGAAAAAATCTCACAGTCTCGACAGGGAACACCGGGGGCTCAGGAACCATCCACCCACTTACAGCTTGTGCAGATTCTTTGTAGTCACAATCCTGCCAGGTTTTGCCACTTTGAACAGAACAATTTCCTTCCCTGATTTGGTACTTGAAGGAATAAAATGTGTCAGGGTCATCCTGAAAAAAACAACCAGAGACATATAACTGACCCAATAGCAAATAATTTGAGTGAGATCTAATGCAGATATGAGTATCTGATCTTGATTTAATTCAGTGAGACCAAAACATTTCTTAAAAATACTTAAAGTTGGGGCACCTGGGTGGCTCAGTCGGTTAAGCATCTGCCTTTGGCTCAGGTCATGATCCCGGGGTCCTGGGATCGAGTCCCGCATCGGGCTCCCTGCTCAGTGCAGAGCCTGCTTCTCCCGCTCCCTCTGCTCCTCCCCCTACTTGTGCTCTCTCTCTCTCAAATAAATAAATAAATAAATAAAATCTTTTAAAAAAATTAAAATACTGAAAGTTATAAATATTTACTTGGAAGAGTGTTCATAATATATTTATAAATACATATTTGTAAGTTACAAAGTGCTATCCGTAGTATTAGCCCATTTCTGTAAAAACCAATTTATAGGTGCATATATGATTCTTAAAAGTCTGGAAAGTTATGAAGCAAAGCTATTAAAATGTTTGTCTTTCGGTGGTGGGAGTACAGCTGTTTCACTTCTTTAAACAAATGTTTGTGAGTTGTCTTTTTAAAAAATAAACATGTATTTCTTTTACAGTGAGGAAACAAATAAGAGGCCACTTCCCATTTTCAAAAAAATGTTATCTCTGGATGGTGGATTAATTTTTGGTAATTTCAGTATTTTTATTTGCCTTATTTTTTCTGGCATGACATGAGATAATAAATAAAACTTTTAAAGTGCCTTGCACTTTAAATACCTAACTGTGAGACCTGAAAATATAAAACTCCTGGAAGAAAGCATAGGCAGTTATTTCTCTGACATTGGCCTTGGCAACATCTTTCTAGATACGTCTTCCCAGGCAAGGGGAACAAAAGCAAAAATAAATGATTAAGACTACACCAAAATAAAGAGCTCTTACACAGCAAAGAAAACCATCAACAAAATGAAAAGGCAACCTACTGAATTGGAGAAGGTATTTGCAAATGATATATCTGATAAAGGGTTAACATCCAAAATATATGAAGAACTTATACAACTCAACACCAAATAAAAGAAATAATCCAATTAAAAAATGGGCAGAGGACCTGAATAGACATTTTTCTAAAGAAGACCTATAGATGGCCAACAGACACATGAGAAGATGCTCAACATCACTCATCATCAGGGAACTGCAATTCAAAACCACAAGGAGATATCACCTTACATCTGTCAGAATGACTAGAATCAAAAAGACAAGAAATAACAAGTGTTGGTGAGGACGTGGAGAAAAAGGAACCCTCTTGCACTGTCAGTGGGGATGTAAATTGGTGCAGCCATCATGGAAAACAGTATGAAGCTTCCTTAAAAAATTAAAAATAGAAATACCATATGATCCAGCAATCCACTACTGTGTATTTACTCAAAGAAAACAAAAACACTAACGTGAAAAGATATATGCATCCATATGTTTACTGCAGCATTATTTACAGTAGCCAAGGTATAGAAGCAACTCCAATGTCCATCAATAGATGAATGGATAAAGAATATGTGTGTGTGTATATACACCTTGGTGTATACATATATGTATAATGGAGTATTACACAGCCATACAAAAGAATGAGATCTTGCCATTTATGACAACATGGGTGGACCTAGAGGGTATTATGCTAAGTAAAATAAATCAGACAGGGAAAGACAAATACCATATCATTTCACTTATATGTGGAATCTAAAAAATGAGACAAATGAACAAACCAAAAGCAGAAACAGACCCCTAAATACAGAGAACAAACTGACGGTTGCCAGGGCAGAGGACGGTGGGGATGGGTAAAATGTGTGAAGGGGAGAGGGAGGCACAGGCTTCCAGGTATGGAATGAGTAAGTCACAGGGATGAAAGACACAGCCCATAGAGAATATAGGCAATGATACCGTCATAACGTTGTATGGTGACAGATGGGAGCTACACTTGTAGTGAGCATCGTATAACATACAGAGTTGTCAAACCATTATGTTGTACACCTGAAACTAGTGTAACTTTGTGTGTCAACTACACTTCAATTAAAAAAAAGAAAGTGCAGGGCGCCTGGGTGGCTCAGTCGTTGGGCATCTGCCTTCGGCTCGGGTCGTGATCCCGGGGTCCTGGGATCAATCCCCACATCAGGCTCCCTGCTCCGCGGGAAGCCTGCTTCTCTCTCTCCCACTCTCCCTGCTTGTGTTCCCTCTCTCGCTATGTCTCTCTCTGTCAAGTAAATAAATAAAAATCTTTAAAAAAAAAAAAGAAAGGGCAAAGGTGTTGAGTTAGGTGAGCTTTCCAAATGGAAAATCCTGGCATTCAAACAGCAAGGGACCAGAGAGGTGATGTTGTCCAGCCCATCACTTTGCAGGTGAAAGAAAGGAAGCCCAAAGTAGACGGGCAGGGCTGAGGCAGCCCCCACACTTTGAAAAGGCAGAACTGGCCCCAGATCCCAAGTCTCCTGACTCTCAGAGCCTGCTTGCATCACTTTATTTGCATCTGGGATGATTGAGTCAAACAACATGGTCTCCCAAGTTCCTTCCAGGTCTCAGATTTTGATAAAGAAGTAGGCAGTAGTGGTATAGATGGTGCCCATATGGCAAAGTAAAGCATGATTCCATGGACATTTTATTTTTTTATTTTTTAAAGATTTTATTTATTTATTTGAGAGAGAGAGAATGAGAGAGAGCACGAGAGGGAAGAGAGTCAGAGGGAGAAGCAGACTCCCTGCTGAGCAGGGAGCCCGATGCGGGACTCGATCCCGGGACTCCAGGATCATGACCTGAGCCGAAGGCAGTCGCTTAACCAACTGAGCCACCCAGGCGCCCTCCATGGACATTTTAGAACAAAAAAGCACATTTGTCATGGATGTCACCCAATGAAGAGAACACCAATCAACTGTTGCTTGAGAGGACCAGGACCAAATGTCTGCATCATTACACTAGTTTGTGAGACAGAATGGCTCAATTTTACTTTCAGGAAAAAAAAAAAATCATGTCCTGTGGGCTTTTTTCTTTATCCTGATTTTGTCAAATGACTGGACTTTTCTCCTCTGCCAAAGTAAACAGTTACTTAACTATGATAGGCATAGAGTTTTATAGTGAAATTCATTTAAACAAACTATCAAAAGATTAGTATTTTTTTGAAATCACACAAACTGTCAGGATTTGTCTCCAACCTGTGTGCATCAATTAGTTATAAAAAATATTAAAAACCATCTAGAACGTCACTGTTACCCTTGATGCATTCAGCCATACAGACTGATCGACATTTTGTCTAATGCATGTTAATCTCATTTCTGCCTCCTCTTAGATGTAACTCTCCTTTCCCCCTAGCTTTCTTGAGGTATAATTGACAAATGAAAATTGCATATGTCAAAAGTGTGCAATGTGATGAGATATACATACATATATACACATACATTGTGAAGTGATTGTCACAAACAAGCTGATTAACACATCCATCGCCCAATATAGTTACCTTTTGTGGGTGTGTATGTGTGGTGAGATCACTTAAAATCTAGTCTCATTGCAAATTTCAAGTATACACTACAGTATTATTAACTATAGTCATGATGCCGCATCTTAGATCCCCAGGACCTGCTTGTCTTATAACTGGAAGTTTGTACCCTGTGACCAGCACCCTCTGTTTCCTCCAGCCTGAGCCCCTGGCAACCACCATTCTACTTTCTGCTTCAGTGAGTTAGACATTTTTTTAGATTCCACATGTAAGTGAGATCACACAGTATTTGTTAGACATAAGCATCCCCTCCCCACCTGTGGTCTGGAGGTCTTCATATTTTCGTCTAAGGGCTGGTCACCCAGTAAGTCCTTTTTTGCGGTCCCATTGAGTTCCTGGATTCTCCCACTCTGAATAGTTTCTTTCAAATGACCCCATCTAACTTTGTCTCATTACACCCTGCTTTCCTGATCACCCAGGAAGCCAAGCTTGGCCGCCTGAGGACTAGTCATACCCTGCCCTGCACCCCCGGGGCCAAAGAGTGGTGTTGATCTTTTCTAAGAGCTGTAAGCTTCTACCTTTGCTTTGGTGATTTTTGTTGTTGGTGGTGGTGGCGGTGGTGTTGTTGTTGTTGTTGGCGGTGGTGGTTGTGTGTGTGTATGTGTGTGTGTGTGGTGGGGGAGGGGCTGGGCTCCAAGTGACAGCACACATCTCAAATGGCCTCAAGGTAAGACACAGCTCACTCACCGTCCTGACGACCTCAGTTACACGGTACAACACAAACTGGTTGCCGCTTTGGTTTCTGCTATTATATTTCTTCAGCGCAGCATCCACCGCCTTAAATAAGTCCTCGTCATCACAGTCGATTTCTTGTGAGTCCTCCTGGGTTAAACTTGGTAGCAGCCTGGAGCAGACAAAAAGCAAGGCAAGTAATTTCATGATTTAGCAGTCTCCCTCCAGGAGCCGAGGGATGGTTTCACCAAGAATCGGGCACCAGCGCCAACTTGGATGTCAATTTTAGCTATTCCCAGCCTTTTATTTCTGTACATGCGTCTCTCTGCCTCAGCGCTCCCAAACCTGGTGGATTCCTGCTGCCATACGCAATTCACCCTATTTCCAAAGGACAAATGGCTCTGTTGAGTTATCTAAGCAGATTTCAGGCTGAAACATTACAACACTGGGGTTGTTAACCTGCTTGTTTGCATTCAGGAAGCACGTGGGAGCACAGACCACATTTCCAGGTGATTGCACAATGTTGTATAACAAATTAGAACAGAAACTATTAAAGAAGGAGGAAAAAAACACCAATCACCTGTTATTCCCTTTCCCAAATGACTTTCCCAAAGCTCTTGATGAAGGTCACTACATGGGACAACAATGTGACAATGAGTACAATGTACAGATACTTTTAATCATTTCTTTGCAAGATATCTAGCTGCAGAAAAGCAGGCTGCTACCAATCACGTTGCATGCCTGGGGAGCCCATGCACAGGGACATAGTGCATGCTGGAAGTCCCATACCAGGACGCCGGTGCAACTAAAAATAAAATATGGGCATCCTCTCTGGTCTCTGGTCAAGTCAGCCTCTCTCCATTCAATTGTATTGGTCCAGAAAGGAAAATGCTCCCCAGAGTGGAGGAGACAGGAGACAAGCATAAGAAGAGATGTGTTGAGTGAAGCCCTGTGTCCCCCATCCTTGCATTTGTTTCTGGTGTGGTGGATTTGGGTGTCTACTCACCAAACCTAAGGAACCTTTCTGATAAACCCCAAGTTCTGACTCCAACTCCTCCTGCACTGTGCGCTGTTAGACATCTCCTCTCTCTTCCAGTTTCAGCTTCTGCCTCTTTGTGGGCCCCTCCTTTTTCCCAGCCTAACAACCAACTTACCCACATCTTTTTTAGCCTTAGTATTTTTTTTCTTTCCCCTATAACCCACCGCCCCCACCCCCCGGCCCAGACACACACACACACACACACACACACACACACGAATATACCTTCTGTCATCACTATGTACCTGCAACTGCTTGCAATAGGTCAGGTAGCAAGCCCAAAGCTTTATTAGCCTATGTCTAAATGCTTGAGCCCTGACTTGGGAAGAAGGGAAAAGAAAGAGTATTTGATTGTGGAGAAAGAGTCCTCTTAGACTAAAACTGAATAAAGAGAAGTTACCTGAGACTAGAGCAACCCTGGGCTGGGGGGCAAGATATGAGAAGAACGATGTCTCTGGGTGTCTTGATGCAGAGAACACCTCTGCCCTGCTTTCTGGGCATGTAGCCTGGAAGGCAGCAAGATCTCAGAGAGAATAGCCCCGGGCAGGTATGTTCACCAGCAGTCTCGCAGAGACTCTTATGCCTTCAGTTTGATACAGCGGTAGCTGATAAACTAAACCCAAGGAGGGATGTGTACAGGGTAGTAAGTATCCCTCAGCAGGAGGGAACCTAGTAGACCAGAGATGAAGACTCAGACCTCCTTCTCATGCCCACCACCCAAACACCTTGGCACTACATGAAATTCTATAACTGTGGCACAACTTTGTGTGGGGAGTAGCAGGGTGAAGGAACTCAAAGAAGGACTGAGGTTAAGTCTTCTATTAACCGACTAGGATGGCAGCCTGAAATGGAAATTAATTTGTTCTGAAAATAAAGTGATATTTCTTGTGCACCTGAATTTATGGTCATGATTTGTACCTGCAACGTTCTTTGCAATTCATTGCCCAAGCCTTGATTGCATCATAATTGAATTTAGAACTTATTTTTTTCCAAAGGGAAATTTAGAGGACTAGAAATAACAAGTAGGAGGGAATTTGAATTTTAGATGAGAAGAATAATCCCTTGACTGATAAAACATACCTTCTTGGTATGCCCAACTACAGCATAAGTACTCAGTGAGGAAAGACCCTAGAATTAAAGGAGTTAAATCCAGGAAAGAAAGAGGCTCAGAGATTTGCTGCAAAGATTTAGTGGTCAGTGACTGACTTGTAGCACTGACATCTTTCCTCTCCTTTCCATTTGTCTCTCTCTTCTCATGCCATCTCCTCCCCCACCCACATTTGCCCTACCCTGAATACGAAAGTAAGGTAAAAATACATGAATTTTGTATTCATTATTGATCATATTTTATTTATGATTTAAGTCAGAATATTAAGTTTACCCCATCGAGGAAATCAGATTTTATTTTGGAAGCAAGTATGCAAAAAACTTCGAGACATGTGAAAACTCACTCTTAAATGTCCCTGGGCATGATTCAGAAACTGATTGAGGGAAGGGCTGAATTTCTGGCTTTAGAGGATTGTTGTCGCCTGGCAATGAGAAGCTGGGAAAATTGGCTTCGGGAAGAGGAAGAACTTCACCTTCTGTTAGTGGAGGGAGCTGGTAAACATATCCGATTTGTCTCCAGTGGAAGGGAAAGGGTCTTTTACCTGGACCTCTTTCTTCTGAGTGCCTAGATGGTGGGCCATGTCCCTGGCAATGGTGATCTTCGGGACCCTGGCTATGGGGTGGTGGGTCACAAGGCCCATGGTCAAGGAAATCGTGTCCATGGGGATGGTGTCCATGGGGATGGTGTCCATGGGGATGATTCCCGTGAGGAGGGGGTCTGTGAGGAGGGGGCCCATGAGCAGGGGGCCCGTGAGGCAGGGGCCCATGAGGCGGGATTCCTTGAGGAGGGGGTCCATGACAAGGGGATCCATGACGAGGGGGTCCATGGGGATGGTGCTCCCTGGAACTACGATTTTGAGGGTGTCCATGGGTCCCACTGGTGCCAAAGTGGGGGTGATGACATCTTGACCCTAGAGGGGGCAACAGTGGAGGAGCTTCTGCCTGAAATGGTGGTCTGTCCTCTAGAAGAGGTGGGCATTCAAATTTATGTGGCTTGTGGGGATGATGGTGATCTCTAAATTCATCAGGCTTAAATGGAGGCCTGCCAGCAAGAGAATGCTCATGCCCACCAGAGTGGTGGGGATGGCCAAAATGGTGTGGTATGCCACTGATGTTTCTACATTCCTGGTAAAGGATACAGAAAAGTGAATATTATCATATAACACAAAAGAAGTTAAGATGTGCAACTCAGTTTAGACCAATGGCTTCCAGACTTCTGGATTCTACAAATCAATTTTAAAAATAGGATAGCAAAAAAGGGCTCTCAAACTTTTACCCAGCCAAACTGACATTTAAAGTGCAAACAATGGGGCGCCTGGGTGGCTCGGTCAGTTAAGTGTCTGGTCATGGTTTCGGCTCATGTCATGATCTCAGGGTTGTGAGATTAAGCCCTGCGTCAGTCTCCACACTCAGCAGGGCATCTGTTTAGTATTCTCTCTCTTCCTCTCCTTCTGCACTTTCCCTGCTTGCGTGCACGCTCTCTCTCTTTAAATAAATAAATCTTAAAAAAATAAAATTAAATACAAAAACTATCATCTGCCACCATTATTATTTCACAATCAGAATAATATTTTGATGATACAAGAGTCAGAAAGATATCTCAGAGTAAAGGGTGGGTCTTTAGATGCAATAAATGTTGTATTATGAAAAACTTTACTTATCCCTACTTTTCTCATTTCAACATAAAATGGTGAAATTATATTGTAGAATGGTACTTATCGTAGACCAACACTTGGAAAACTAATGCCTTATAATTTATATCTTCAACAGAGTTCTGAGGCTTTATGGTATAATCATCTCTTACTCCTAAAGGATGAGTACTTCATCTCTTCACTCTCCTTCTTGTTCAGATTTTAATTAAAAAAAAAAATCTGTGGAGCCATGTTCATAGTGATAAACCTGTCTTGCCCCTCCCCCTCTTTGTTCTATGGTTTGGCACATAGACATTTGGATTATTTTCAGTTTTTGCTGACATGAGAAATACTGTGATGAATATCTTGGTACAGAACAAAGCTTTCTGGGACAGATGTGAAATATTGCTTTGTGCCTTATTTTATGTACCTTTATATAATGTGTTTGAGGTTAATTCATTCCCCTTAGGTTCTATGCTTAATACTAAAAGCTAGGAATTGAGTCTCGGGACTAGAGCCTTGGCTACAAGGACCATTTTCAAATTCATTAAAGGTTGATTGGATCGGTTGGTTTTACTTTACAAATCTTACCTCTCCCCAGCTGGAAATTTTTTATACTTTTTGTGTCATATCAGCAATGGAACCCATTCGTTCCCCAGGGGCCTCTTCTCTCTGTATTTCTTTTCAGCCTCCTCTCATCTCTCTGCCTATCTCCCCACCACCCCCAGAGCTATAAGAACAAAATACACTATGTGTATGAAAATATCTCTTAGTCTGGCACTGCTCATAACAAAGACTATTTAAGCAACCCACCTCAAAATTGAAGACTTCACAGTTTATGGCAATGTCTTCCAGGGTTTCCAAGTCAGAGACTCCTACGTCATAGGACAAATCTGCTCTGCAGAATCCAAAGACCTTATAAAGAAGAGAGAAGCCTGTTAGTGTGTGTGTGTGTGTGTGTGTGTGTGTGTGTGTGTGCAGGTGGTATGAATGTGCACAGCTAGAGTTGTAAACTTATATACATTTGGGAAAGAAGATGAGCTTTAGAAAAATCAGGGTAATATTGTCAAATATCTCTGCTAGTTATTTAACATCTTTCCCAGCCAATACTTGGAGAAAGTGCAGTTTCCAAAGTGGTTCACTTCAAGTTGCTGTGTTTCTCTTCCATGAGGGGCCACCACCAGGGGTCACCCCATGGGGGGGTCATTAGAAATACCACATCACTGATACCTTGCCTTTCGTCCAACCGTTCTGCACTGAAGACCCAAGTTTCCTGTGCCTAGAGAGAATGAAGAGTGGTGCAGAAGAGGGATTTGTACAACTTTACCCAGACCCTTGAAGGAAAGTGCTGGAAAGGAGGGAACCGGTATGAAAATGGGTTTGCTGGACCCTGTCAAAGTGACTTAGGGCCCTATCTCAAGTACAGAGGATATGACTGGCTGGAATCCCTATGCCACAGAGGCTCCTACACCCAGCTGTCAAAGTTAGACTAGGACAAGAAGACAATGCTTTTCCAGAAGCGACAGTAAAGCACTGAGATTCTGAGAACAGTTTTGGAGTCAGACAGAGCCCTGTGAATTCTGCCTTCACCATTTACTAGTTGTGTGAGTTTA